ATGTGAAGTTATATGGTAGCCATTTAGCATGAAGATTGTGTATAATATAATTGCGTCCAAAACTTGAATTTCTTTTTGCAAATTTTGATAAGAGAGATTCTGTTTCTTCTGTACGGCCTCAACCACTTGTTTGTTTGTTCTTACTTCTTAGTAGTTGATTTTGGATGTACCTTGGGGAATGCTTTAGAAACAAGCACTTTAAACAAAAGTGCTAAATCACTTTGTTGTTTGGTGAAACAAAAAATTAGAAAATGAACAAAATAAGTCGGAGAGAAAGTGACTAAGGAAATAGAAGTAAGAGGAAAAGAAAAACCAAAGCAAAAAATTTCTAAGTACTCCATAAAGAAGTAACTATCATTTTCTTCTTTTTTTTTTCTTCTTTAAGGTACTTTTGCTTTTCTGGAAAAGCATAGATTACTCCCAAATATATTCTAATTAAATACACCAAACATACAAGACTGGAAGAATAAAGGATCCTTTGCTAATCCTCCGCTCGAAGTCGTAGGAGAGATTGTTGAATACGCCAAGAATGCGACCGTTCTCGGTTAAGAAGATCGGTTAACCAAAACGAAGCCTTTCGTGCTTGCAAATAATTTAGGCTGGAGAAGTAGAGACCTTGTATCCCTGTGTAAACTTTTTGAGTTTTGTTGTTTCACCAACTGAAGAAAGCCATTCTGTTAAAATCTCCATTGTTATATAATCGGCATTACACGCCTGTTCAACCATTCTATCCATGAGTTCGAATGCTTTGTCCAACCAATTCTTCTCCCAAAGGGCTTTGAATACAGCATTATATGTTGTGGTGTTGGGCTTCACTCCTCGAACTTTCATATCATCGAATAGAGAGAGAGCAGAATTGACCTCGTTTTTTTTGCACAGAGAATCTATCAATATGTTGTATATTACCGTGTTGGGAGGAACCTTTGATGCTGCACTCATTTCCTTGAAAAGCTTCATGGCTTCATCAGTGTTGTTGTTTAAACAATATGCATGAATCAGAGCTCCATAAGTGAAGACAGTGGGTAAAAGACCCTCATGCTTGGTCATCCTTTTCATAAATTTGTGGGCCAGTTTGAAATTCCCAGTTCTACTGAAGTAGGAAATCAAAGTGTTGTAAGTGACACTGTCAGGCTTAACTCCAACCAGCTCCATTTCATTGAGCAACTCATTAGCTTTATCTAATTTGTTCCTCTTACAGAACTCACTAATAAGAATATTGAAGCAAACGAGATCCAGACGAAACCCGGCCTCCTTCAACTTCGACATGACAAAGCTGGCATCATCCAACCTTCCAGCTTGGGCCAAACCACATATCAGAGTATAATAAACAATGGAATCAGGGAAACATCCAGCTTTGAACATTTCATCAAAAAACTCCATTGCCTTATCAATATTGTTGRCTTTGCAAAAAGCATTGATAAACACTGTGTAAGTAACGGAATTTCCTTTCAATCCCTTCTGCTGCATTTCCCTGAGAAACTCAACTGCGCTACTTATTCTGCCATGCTTGCACATTCCATCAACTAAAGTATTGAGGGTGATCACATTTGGCACAACTTGTTCATTAGCCATCTGATTAAAGAGCTCGTGGGCTTTCTCAATTTCACCTGACTTACAGTACCCATCAATCAAACAATTATAGGTAACAGTATTAGGAACACAGCCATCTGATCTCATCATTCTCATCAAACTCGATCCTTCTTCTTGCCTCCCCACTTTACAGAGCCCATCAATCAAAGTATTGTAAGTGATTGCATCAGGTGCAACAACCTTAGCCTCCTTTTCCCCCTTCATCCTCTCAAACACCTCTAACGCATCATCAATTCTTCTGAACTTACACAAATGATTGATGAGAATACCAAAAGTTATAACGTTAGGCTGAATATCCATGTCTTTCATCCTTCGCATTAGCAAATTCATTTTCTCAAATTCCCTCTCCTTTCCCAATCCTGTCAAAAGCGCATTACAGGGTGCAACATCCTTAAGACCATTCAACTTCATCACATCATCTAAAACATTCCAAGCAAGATCTGTATTTCTACTTCTACAAAGCCTGGAGATCAATTGCGTTAATGTGATGGCATTGGGAAAAACATGGTGTTTACCGAATTTGGCCACCAACCCTGCAATTTCATCTTCCCTGACTCTCCCCTCCCACCCATTTACCTTCAACAGTTTCGTGAATACAATATCAGCAGTTATATCATTGGGTCGAAATTCCGAACCTGGAAGAAGCATTTCATCGAGCACTTTCATTGCACTGTCAACACGCCCGGTTTTCAGTAGCAAATCGATGATCACATTGCGGACGTATGTGTTCTTTGTGTGTGAATCAAGCTCAGAAAACACAGCAAGCGCCTCATYGGCCATGCCAGCCCTTCCAAGGCGCCGGAGCAGAAGAACAGCAGCAGGGCTATTGAGTGAGACATTCTGCTCTTTCGAGGTCTTGTAAAGCTCGAGAAGCAAATTAGGCGAGTTGGGTTCTCGAGTAGCGAGCTCGAGAATAGCCTGGAAAGTGGAAGATAACAAACGCCGATCAGATTCCGGCGGTGAATTCGCTTTAACATAATCTAGAAACTTAAGGGCAGTGGACAAAGAGTCCAAGCGACAAGTGATTTGGAAAAACCGGCGAGGGGATGAAGGGATTGGAGAGAAAAGCAAGTGGTTGAGCTTGGTGAAGTCGCGGTTATTTTCCGGGGATTGAATCAGTTCTAGCACTTGGGTTACGACTGATTCTTCGTCTTGTGCGAGTTCAAGTGGCGCCGGAGTTTGTGGGGTCGATTGGGTTGAAAGGCGGTGATGAAGGAGACGCCATGATTGAGTATTTGCCGTATTTCTTTGAAGGATGTGAAGGAATTTTGATCGATTTGATGCTGAGAGTGACATGGTAGCTCTGGTTTTGGTCCAGAGCAGTGGCAGCGCCGGCTACTGAAGAATAAGGCGGCAGGGAAACAAGTTTGCTAGGGAAAGCATCCCCTGGCAAATTTTAATTCATTATTTGTTAGTTTTTTTTAGTTCAATGATTTTGAACGTCTCTGAAATTAAAGTTCATAAGATAAAATTTTAGAAATAGAAAACCCAAAATTAAAAAAAAAAATTATCGAATGGAATTTAAATTTTCAATTGTGTACTAATAAATTCTCACTACTGCAACTCTATCAATTTAACTATATTATTTAAAAATTACATAATTTGTGAACAATTTCATCACATATTTTAACAATATAGTTTAACTCAACGATAATTAATGTCTATCTTCTACGAGATCATGAATTCGAATCTTTATCTCCACCTATTGTACTAAAAAAACTTCATCATATATTTTGATAATATATTTATATATAAATGAAATTAACAACATTAACGGACACAAAATAGCAAATTTGCAAACAATCGAATGTTACAGAATCGAGTGATTGTCCTCGAGATGCATGTATCTTGACCCAAATACCCATGGTAGCGAAAAAGAATTATATATGTGTATATATTCTATGAAGTAGCCAAATTTGAGAGCTGCTATGAAATTCATTTGGTAGGCTTTGTTCCACCTTTAAAACATTCCTTGAGAGTCCCACATGAACAGCCAAAAGATAGCATGCAAATTTCAGATGCTAAGAACTTTTTAACTGTTGTAATTGCAGCAAAAACACAACTTTAGAGGCATATTCCTGGCATTATGTGCTAAAAAAAAGGCC